AAGAGATGGGGTGACCAGGTGAGGCAGGTCATGGCCGGCCAACCATGAGTACGCGCTTCTTTCCTTTCATCATGGATCATAGTAGTCTGACGGTTCCTTCAAACACATGGATGTATCCCGGTGACCATTCCAAGTCCTCTGGCAACTTGGAGCTTCCAATTCTGATTTGGAAGGTGTTACTTATCAGCTCCTGTTCTGCCATTCTTAAAAATGGTTCACAAAGCCCTGATCAGCAGAGCTCTGAGCATGTGTTCCTCGCCCAGGAAGTCAGAGAGCTAGGACTGGGGCCGATAATGCACACGGGAAGTCTCTAAAGACTCTAGTCATGATGACACTGTCATCCGGTCAGCAGTGAAAAGAAGTGACTGGTAAAAACATGGTCTACAACCAAAGCCACCGCAGGAAAAGGCCTGGTCTCCTTCCCGCACATATTTTTCACATAAACAACAAACTGTTGGCCCCACTGTTGGCCCTTGAGTTGTTAGTCAGCTGCTGACCTCATAATCTGCACAGCTGTGGCTTCCCAGTGTTGTCACGGAACAGATTGGGATGTCTTAATGGATCACTTTCAGAGGTTACAATTGTCAAGTGAGACCAGCCTGCTGATTCTTATTAGCTAAATTAAGCCGTGTTACAGCAGAACTGGCTAATTCATTCTAATGGCTGGGAAATCCAATGCAAATTTCCACATTTTACAGAACACATCCAAGGCTTTTCTTGATGATTTTCAGCTCTGTGCAAGCTGTACCCCAAATATGGTTTTATTGCCCACTTAAGGCAATTGTTGGAATGGACAGTGGGCTGTGATCATGCTGCCCGTGTGCATGGCGGTGGTGTCAGAGCAAACCATGTAACACTCGGTGTGTAATAGACACTGATGTGTATGATTCACAATGATCTTGGAGGACTCAGTTGTCAGTAATGGCTGTCAAGCCCTACCAAACATTGAAAAAAAGATTGCGGTCTTGCATGTTGTCTGAAAGAATGTCAGCTTCTAAAGGACAAGAGAACACCTTAGACAACACCTGATCCCCAAAGCCACTCTATGGAGCCTTCATTTAAGAAGGTGTTTATGATGGAACTGGTCTAAAACCTATGTCCAAGTGTCCTAATATAATCCTCCACTTCGGGTGGACTTCTTCTAACTTAGTGTCTGGTCTACCTGCTACTTACTGCAGTTTGTCAAGGTGATATGCAAGTTCTTTATCACAAACTTGTTTGTGTGGTAGTGCAACAGGTATCCCAGACTAACCTCAGGTTCTCTAGATCACTGACGGTTACCTTGAACTCATGATCCTCCTGCCTCTGCTTCTAAAACGCTTGGATTGCAGACATCCATCACCACGCCTATTGATGAGAGGTGTTTTTAAAAACATTTGTTTTTATTGTATCTGTGCATGCATGCATTTTGGAAGTATACCATGTGTGTGCTGAGTAGCCATAGAGGCCAAAATCAGGTACAGGAGCCCCTAGAACAAGAGATCCAGATGGTTGAGCCACCATGTGGGTACTGAGCACTGAATCTCTGCTCATGTGGGTGCTGAACACCAAGTCACTGCTCTCTGTGCAAAAGCAAGAAGCACTTGGAATCTCTGAGCCTTCTCTGCAACGCTCTGAGGCATATCACAAATGGACTTGTGTGGGTCCAACAGGTCATGTTTTTTTCTAATTCTTCGCTGTGACAATTTACACAGATGCCTTTGTCAGTTGTGTACATGCTACAGGAGTAAACAGAGACCAAAGGAAACAAGTTTATCAAACACCATAACTGTTGGCTCCAAAATACTCCAGGATGTACAAAGACGTTTACCAAAGTACTTTTAAATAGTAGAAAATAAAGCAGGCTGTCCACAGTAGGCAAATAGATACATTATGGCATATCTATGTAGCTGAGCAATGAGCAGGTACTAAATCCATCTCCAAGGATTATTTACTGACGTGGGAAAGACCAACATGAAAATGAAAGAAAACAAAAGCTGCCCAATGGTATAAATCTAATTGTTCAGCCTGCCCACAACAGCCCACATAGAAAAAGGACAATGTGGGGAAATATTTGTCATCATTGTTGAGTGATAGAAATCTGAATAACTTTAACTCTATCCTTTTATAATTTTTCAAGTTCTTCATAGTGAGCCCATACTATTAGAATAATCGAGGCAGGACAACCATTTAAAGCAGTTTGAGTAGATTTGTTAAGAGACATGCTGTAGTGGTCTTTACTGGTTTCCCTCCCTGGTTTCATTCCTAGAAACCTTCCTCCCATCCTAGTTGGTAGCTGTGCTAGTCTCAAGTGGCTGAGGCTGACGTTACTCTTGACTCGTCTCCCCTCCTACCTGCTTTTCACGAGTTCAGAGCCTGGACCGACCCAGGATTTACCCAGAAGCTTGTCGGCCTCTCTGCTTACCAGTACCATTTCTTGTCTTCCCATCACCCTCTCTTCTCTGTGGGAGCAGTTGCTTGCTCTCCCTCTTTCAGCCTTCTTCTCTCATGGTCCAATTTCCCATGTAACAGCCAAAGTTGTTAAGACACAGTTCCGGTCATCCATTTCTCTTTCATCAAAGCTCTCCACTGCGCAGGAAGCCAGAGAACCCAAGCAATGCACAGGGGCCTCCTGTCTGCCCCCAGGTCCTACTTGCTGTCTGCACAGACTCTGCTGAGTTCTTCCTTCCTCCTCACCATCTTCTGCCTTAAAGGATCAGCAGTAGCTTTGCTTTGCCGACCACACTGGAGTCGGCCTTGGTGATGTCTTTGAGACATCACCACCCTGTAACCCTCCACAGCCGATGCTTTCACCTCACCCATCCATTCTGTCAGCATTTCTTCATTGCTCCCAGTACACACATAGACACACTCACACGCACACATGGACGCACTCACTCACGTGCACTCGAGCACCTCCGGAGTTTCCATGTTGTGTAAATTTCTCTTTTGTGAACTGGTCACCTTCTAATGTATTATACAGGATGCTGATATATTTATTTATCTTGTGCATGTATAGAAGTATAACTTAAATGTAAGTTTTATTCCATCAGGGATTCTTGTGTATGATTTCTTACCTCAGCTGTAACTCTTGGAAGTGTACCTGCTGTGTGGTAGGCACCCAGAAACTGCTGGGCAGAGCGCCAGCAACGGGAAAGGTGAACAGTTGCAAGTGTGTGATGATTGTCCAAGCAAGTGGCTGAGATGCTTTACCTGTCGTTTTTTTCTTTCCTTGATTGCCACAGTTGGATGGAGCCTCCTGATGAGCTGACCTTTCCTCTTGATTGCTTTTTTTCTTTCCACCTAAATCAACAGTTCTAAACTAAATGGGAAAGTCCATTTTCACTAGTATTTAGCTTAATTTTCAGACTCTTTTTTAAAAAACGACTTCTTAGTGTCATGTGTGTTTTGACTGTATTCACCCTACACCCCAACTATTCCTAGATCCACTTCCCTTCTCTATCCATCCCTAGTAATGGAGTTATGAGCAGTTGTTAGTTGCTGAGAAGGGAGAGACAGTTTTCTCTAAGAGTATAGCCTGGTAAATCAAGTGGAAGGCCATACATCTGAGAATATTATGGTACCACAAATTGGTCTCAAAGGATTAAAAAATAAATAAAAGGATATAAAATGTTCAGAGTCTTGATAGATTATTTTAAACCCATATCTTTCATTTTCTACTTTAACAAATTGAGCCGCTAATATATCCCTGCTGAAGTCAGAGACAAGCTGTTATCTCACAGGAATTCGCTATCTAGATGACAGGACAGGAGTAAAGGTATGGCAGGACCCTGTTTGAGAGGAGCTGTTCTCCAGTAGTGGCAAAATATGTTTGGGTTCAAGCTCAGGATTTAAAAAAAAAAACAATCTTATAGAAGGTGGGTGAATATCGCCAAAGTGGTTCTTTTTCTGTTGTGAAGATGGAGTGATGTCTTCCTGTGGGAAAGAAATAGCAAAAGTAATGTGTGCGGTTATTTTAGAAGCCAAGGAAACAGGATGATGCTAAGAGCAGTGAGCCCTTCATGTGAGTTAGAGGATTGATCTTTAGTGGACGAACAGATGGCTTAGAGGTCAAGAATGTGTACTGCTCTTGCAGGGACCTCAGCTTTGTTCCCAGTGCCCATAGTATGTCTGCTGAGGGGATCTTATCGCTTCTCCTGGTCTCCATAGGCATTTGCATGAATATACTCACACATAGAGAGACACATACACATAAATAAATAAATAATAATAAGATAAATCTAAAACAAAGGAGCTCTAGGCTTAGAAGACATGGGCTTAGAAGTTCTACTTCAGAGGATCCAGATTTCAAAGGTGTGGCCTTGGCTTCTCCACTGGAACTGGTATTAAAGTACTCACCCTGCATATCAGTGTTTTGCTTCCAAGTCTTTCTAAGTTCCATGCAGAGGTATTCAGTCTCTAAAGACTGTCTGCACATCTCTCCATGTTCCCAAGAGAGGCCTTACTTTGCCCATGTAAAACCAATATAAGCCCAGAGGCGCATAAATTTGATGACTTGGGGATTTTTAAACATCAGCATAAGACTACAGATGTCTTAAGTGGTTATGGGTTGTGTGTATCTTCTTCATGTTATTATCAGTTGCCACCTGCCCGTGCATACATGCCACCGAAGTTCAAAATGCATGCCTAGCTATGGACCACTGGAGTTTCTCTTATAGCTACCATCTGTATCATAGGAACCAATACTTTCATACTTTCTTATGTCACTGGAAATTATGGATCTAAATGTATAAAATTCATCATTTAGAGAGAAAAAGTTATGACTGTTTCTCCACATAATTTTAAACTAGCCTAGGGATACAGAAAGTCAAGTCATCTTTTCAACAGGATGTATTTACTTTTCTAATAAAAGCCCAGATCCAATAAAGGCTACACCTGTAGCAGAGACTGTAGGATAGAGATGTGTCAGAGATAATTTCATACTCAGGAATTGTACAGTAGTGACATTTTGGTTCCCTAAGAACTCATGTGACCACACTCTTCATTTTTCTCCTTTTCAGCCTTTGCAACTGAACTGTAACCATTGTGCCGTCGTGTCAAATTCAGGTCAGATGGTTGGACAGAAGGTGGGGGAAGAGATAGACCACGCGTCCTGCATCTGGAGAATGAACAACGCCCCCACCAAGGGTTTTGAGGAAGACGTTGGCTACATGACGATGGTCCGAGTTGTGTCACATACCAGTGTCCCTCTCTTGTTGAAAAATCCAGACTATTTTTTCAAGGAAGCAAGCACAACCATTTACGTCATTTGGGGCCCTTTCCGCAACATGCGGAAGGATGGTAACGGCATCGTGTACAACATGCTGAAGAAGACAGTCGATGCCTATCCTAACGCGCAGATCTACGTCACCACAGATCAGCGGATGACTCACTGCGATAGAGTGTTTAAGGATGAGACTGGGAAGGACAGGTGAGTCCTCTGAGACAACCTCGTCGGCTTTCCCTGTCTTTTTCAGTGCATCTTAGCCGAGTCCCTCTGCTAGCTATCAAGTGAACACAGCTACTTTTCAAACTGATGGCTCCGTGTTTCCGATCATTATGATTGCTTCATGAGCCAACAAGGAAGTCCCATTCATGCTGCCTACACTGCCTTCTGTTCTCTCCATTGTAATTGGTTTGAGGCTCTGAGAAATGGCGGATAGTTCTCCAGGATGTCTTTAGATCTCTTCCTAGGTAGCTCAGTTTGATATTGATAAAATTGGATTTTTTTGTCTTGAAGAAGTCTTTACTACAGAAATACTTAGGAATTTCAGGATTTTAATGCATGGAAATTGTGACTCCTCCTCCCCTCTGAGAACAGAGGTAGAACAGACTGTTGACCTTCTAATGATTGCACAGTTTCTTACATACCCTGTGTTCTTGAATACTGCACATTAGTAACCAATACACTAAACAGAATACTGTTATTGAACTATGGATTGCTGGGGCAGGAGAAATGGTTTAATGGTTAAGAACACTGGCTGTTCTTCCAGAGGTCCTGAGTTTAATTCCCAGCAACCCCATGGTGGCTCACAACCATTTGTAATGGGATCAGATGCCCTCTTCTGGTGTGTCTGAAGACAGCTACAGTGTACTCATATAAAATAAATAAATAAATAAATAAATAAATAAATAAATAAATCCTTTTTAAAATGGAAATTATGTACTACTTAAAAACTCTCAGGACTAGGATTCTTAAAGAGACACGCAGTATAAATACCCTTCACTCATTTATCCAAAACCCAAACTACCTTTGTGTGTTGTTTGTGCTTCTCTGTCCCGGGCCCTGTCCCCATCCTCTTGCTTGAACCTTCCTCTCATCCCCCTTTCCCCCATCTTCCTCTTCCTCTCCTATCTCCTTCATAGTTAAAAATCTCAGGCAGCTCCTCCATCTGCTGGTTTCTCTGTCTCTTTACAAAGACAACAGTACAATCGAGGGAAGCAAAGTGACAAACCAGATTAATCTTAGCTGATGTTCCTCGCTAATAAAGAATTGCTGAAGAAGATCAGGAAACCTGTGCCTAAGGTTCTAAATTATATGTGAATTTTGCTTACTTGAGCGATACCATGAATAAATTGAGCTTCAAGTGTAAATGCAGTACTAACATTCTGATTTCCTTAATATTCATGCCATCTTTTACTATTCAATATTATTGAATAGGAAGTTGTAGCTATCGGGCGTATGCTTGCAGGGAGTTGGGCTTTGCTGTCCCCAGGTGTAATTTCAGTGCTTATAATGAGTTCCCGGTCTCGGTGAGGCAGTTTTTTGTGGTCCGTTTTTCCAGCTCACTATCCCCCACTTCCACCCAAAAGAGTGCTTTTTTTTAACTTTCTTAATAAATAGCATACACGCACACAGACACACACAGACACACACACACTCACTCGGGTGGACCTATTGATAATGTGGGCTGATTTTCACTTAGCATTTCCGACTTCTGAGCCCTTAAAATACAACTTCACCCGAAAGACAGAACAGGGCAACACTGTAACGTGAGCCCCTCGTCTGCAAGAATAACCCGGAAGGTTAGATCTAAATTAGTGTAGCATAAGCCATTCAAAGAGACGGGCGATGGAGATAAGCAGATCTGGCGTTTGCAAGAACTGCACTCACTCGTAGCACCATTCTGTACAAACGTGACCATCCTCCAGGGGCTCCTGAAACCTCTGGTCTCTCACTAGCCTCGAGCAACACGATTAATTACATGTATTTGGTTTTCCATTACAGCTATCCCTTAGGGCATCCCTCAGTTACAATGATTCGCCTGGGGATCATTTGAGGGTACCAGAGAAGAACTTAGTGTGGTATTTGGTTGTAGAGCTCATGCCTGTTGGCCTTTGCTATGAGCTTTCAGAGGCACCGTAACAGATGTGAAGTTGTAGAACAATTAGCAAGTAGCATCGGGAGGTGTTTTCTATATCTACGACAAGAGAAGCTGCTTATTGCTGTCTTGGCAAAATTAATTTGCAGATACCTATCAACGGGGTTACCAACGCTAAATTTCTTTTAAAGGTCAAATGATTTTATGGTACATTTTTCTTTTTTTCTCTCTCTTTCTTTTTCCTTTTCTACTTAGTGCGATTTCCCTAGTTACCACAGACAGGAGAATTAAAGGGCACAGGTTCTTCAGGACTCTGTAGAAGAGTTGACAGGTAGAATCAGGCTGCTCAGCTTGCTGTTGGCCAAAATGACCTCAAAGGTTTCTATCTCCACTGGGACTTAAATCTAGCCTTGCTTGCTCTGAGTATAATGATTTTTGTCGTTCTCTGGCACACACTGACAAGTTTCAGACACTATCTCTGACTTTGTGGATATGTGTTGTATGTACGCATGTACACAGGTGGAAACCAGAGGTATAAGTCTGGTGCTTTCCTCAGTCACTGTAGACCTTTTGTTTGAGACAAGGTCTTTTATTGAGCCAGAGCTTACTATTCCAGCTAAGCTAACTGAGCAGTGGCTCACAGGAATTGGTTCTGGGGTTACAGAATTCAGGGTCAGGCCAGCTTTTACATGTGATTTGGAGATTTAAGCTGAGGTTTGAGTTTTTAGTAATGGTTCTTAAACATAGCCAAATTCACAGCCTCAACAATATCTTTTAGAAACTTGTTATACGAAAAATGTCAAACTCGAGAGCAGAGACTGACTGGTAATACCTACATCTTTGTAGAGCCAGCCCTCAGCCTGAGGAACTACTAACTCGTGACCAGCTGTACCCCACACACTTTCCCCTTCACCAAGCATTATTCTAAAGCAAACCTCATACCTCATTGTTGTGTTCCATCTTTAAATATTACTGCGTATTTTAAAAGACAAAAGAAAAAACCCACGTTGTACATGGAAATGCGAACATGCCCTTCATACCACGATGTGTTTCTTTGGCTTGCAGTGGTCAACAGTTGTCTGGTACATGTGATTTAAGCATCAGCATATGGCTCATGTGTGAGAAATGCATGGTGTATTTCCAGTGTGTGTATTTACAGATACAGCTGTTTCCCGACACTACATCTTACTAAAGAAACCTAGCCACCTGGGTGTTTTACTGTCTAGTTAATTTTATTAACTTCACCTCATGTTATTTCTTCTACGTTGGTTTATATGCACTGAGAACGCCTGGATTCAGATCCAATTAATATTGATTCTTTTGCCAAGGGCATCATGTGATACCTGTAAAGGACATATACCTTATAGTTTTCTCCTTTTATGGTAGAAACCACTAATGGTAACTGTCTAGAGTCAAGAGCTTATTAGGGTTGCAAAACGATAGTGTTTTATCTTCTCTTTTTATAGAGAGAAAGTTGGCCTCATTTGGTTACCAGGAGATAGAAGATAGCACCAGCCTCTTACTGGCTGGTTCTGATGCATCACTTCCTTGGTTGGCATCCTCTGAACTGACTTGCATGTTTACAACTACTTACATACTAACAGTCAAGTGTGTCTATATTTTAGTAATTTAATTTATTTTAAAGCTTAACGCTCTGAATGTGTTATTTTAGCCTGTGGGAACCTCTTCATATTGGCTTCGTATGCTTCTGATGCTCAATAGAGGCCATGGATAGTTTTCCTCCTTTCTAGTATTGTTGGGGCTTCAGCTCTTATCCACATACACCTCCCTGCCTGTATTCAGACATTCGTCAAAGAGCCTTGGTTCTGCTAGTTGCCAAAAGAACATAACCACGGCACTGTGGCATCCATTATTGCAAGGCTGGGTTTTTCTTGCTTGGCCTTTAGAGTGGGGCAGAGTGATGTGTTTATGAAAAGATAAAGGTATGTTCTATGGAGGTGTGGTGAGGCCTTGGCGGGCCCATGCTGAGGCCTCCCCTCCCCATGAAGGACCAGCCACTCAATGATATAGTATATAATAGTTTATTAAGGGCATGGGGAGGGGAGTTAAGAGGATACTAGAGGCAGAGAGAGAGAGAGAGAGAGAGAGAGAGAGAGAGAGAGAGAGAGACCCGCCATGAGCATGTGGAGAGAGAGGGGGAAGGGAAAGCAAGTGCAAGAGAAAGCAAAAGAGCAAGAGAGCAAGGAGAGGTCAAGCAGCCCCTTTTATAGAGAGTCAAGCTTACCTGGCTGTTGCCAGGTAACTGTGGGGCAGAGCTTAGAATGCTAACACGGAAATAGACTACAACCAATATATGCTATGTGTGTTGTCTATAAATAAGATCATCCTTTTGAGGTTCAAATGGAGTCTTTCCATTCAAACTCAGGCCTACCAGACTTTTATTTTAACATACATGTCTTACAGTGTCTTATAGCCATGTGTCTGGCAGACTGCCAATCAAAGGCCCCAGGAAAAGCAGTGCAATTACTCATTTGCCCTACCTTACAATACACAGTAAACTTCACATGATGGCGAATCAACTATGTGATCATTGCCAGCCTGTTAGGGGATCTGTGCACCAAAGATGTTTAAATGTTAGGCACGAGTGCTACATGTATAAGGCTGCAGTCCCTTGGTGTGTGCTGAGATGTCTCCCCCAAAGACTGCAATGTTTTCCTCTCAAGTAATTGGGAGTAGGTGCTATGCTGGGCACACACAGGAACACACAACGGACTTGGGAACCAGACTTGCATTTAGTCTACTTTTGTCGTAATGCTGTTTCGGTCTTACTGTCAGAATTCATCAGCAAGTGTCATTTTCATCTTATTTATGTTTGGTGGAGATCAAGCTCATGACCTTTGACATGCCAGGCAAACACTGTACCATTGAGACAACACCCCCAATTCCTCAGATTCTAATGGCGAGATCAAGTCGCTGTTGATTCATAGACCTAAAATGTTGATGCCACTGTCATTTAAGATGATTATATAAAAATATAAAATCAGGTTCAATTTCTTGAAGGAAAATACTTCTCAGTTTCTTTTCTTCAGTCATCAAAGTTCTGTTTGAAAACTCCAGCCCTGGGCTGGTGAGATGGCTCAGTGGTAAA